GTGGGCTGTTCTTTGACATTAATATTTATATTCAAGGATATCCTACAGGCATGCAAGGGACATCAAATTCCTTTTTATTTGCAGGATAGAAGAGAGTTTTGAAGATTACATTATGGGTCAAGAAAGGAGAGAGTATTTGTTTGGCCTCTGCAACACAAGGGAAACAAATTAGTGGATCTGTAATTTAACTAACCACTTCCATTAGCACAGCTATTAACGGTGGCTGCTTTTCCCAGTTTTTATAGATAGTTTTGATGTTGGGAGGATTGCCAGACTATTGGCAAGCTGCTAAATAGGGTTTTTTTTGTCTTGCAACTTTTTTATACTTTGTGCTGAAGTATAACTCATTAGTACTACTTACCTAAAAGTGGATCCAGGTAATGCCACTGTGTACATTCCTACTCTGTGCTCTGCAAGCCACCTCCTCATCCTACCAGTGACCAGGAGTATGTACCAAGAGCATCCACTAAGTGATTTCTTCCTGTACATGCCACATGGAGGAGAAGTCAATATTTATACCTCTCACTTGATAGAATTCGTTAAATATATTTTGCTAAATAACACTCTATATTACATATTCCTTGTCTAATATTTGCCCACAGAAGTATTTGTTATGTGAGTTGAATGCCTAGTTAAGACCTAAATGAGTACAATGTATTTAATATTTATTTGCTAGCACAATACAGTAGATACAGGGGAGATGAGAGAGAATGCAAATAGAGGAAGAAGAAAAAGTGATTAAAGGGCACAGACAGAACATGAAATATTTCTACATGACTGCAGTGATTCTGAAAAAAAAAGTAAACAGCAAGAGAAGCTCAATTATTTAGGTTTTAGAATTTAAAAGTAAAAAATTTAAAGAAAAAAATGTTTAAGGAGATTGTAAATTACTACTAACAGCAGTCCTGCTTTATCTAAAAATGTGTGCTTCAAGAGAGCTCCAGAAATGAGCCCCTTCTCATCAGATCTGGACCATCTGAGTTCTCCCTGTTTAGGGCACCTTTTATCTTCAATGACAGGTTCTTGGTATGAGAAATCTTTATTTTTACTTTTCTATTGTTTTAGTCTGTGATGTAGTGAGTAAAGCTCATACCACAGCAAAATCTAGTCACAACAAAGACAACAAAATCCCCATGTGGTTGAGAGCAGTTAAAACTCTGTTAAAGACTACTTACTAGAGAGATTGTACTGGCTAATGGGATCTTGTGAGAAATTACATTGCAGAATTTTGGCAAAGAAAGTGCTTTGGACAGTAATTTGTTTTTCTGAAAATAATGTTTTGTAATAACAGTAATACGACTGGCTCTATTTTCTGAAATATATTCCTTGAGAGCAAATGGAAATCACAACTGTGCAGGCAGAGGAGGGATTTTGGCTATTTATGTAATTTGAAGAAATCACAAATATAATCCACCAGCAGCAAGATGCTGTGACATGTTTAACACTGAACTTTTAATTTAATAAAAGCAAGTGAATCATGAAGTAAATATATCTTTACTTGACATGATACAAATGCAAGAAAAGCTACATCAGACATTATAATGCCTTATTTTAGCAGATATGTGTTTGCATTTGTAGCTGTGGGCAGGATTTCAAAACTGCCCTTTGGTAAATATAACCATGGAATAATCAAACCTCATTTCTATATATTGGTTTCTACCAATGTACTTTTTCTGCTGTGTAGCTGTGATTATTCAATTCAGATCGGTCTTCTTAGGAATTACTTTTCTGTATCTGTATTTACTGGAATTTTGTGGATGAGAATTCAACGGATTTTTTTTCCAGTCACAATTGAGTTCACTGTTAAATTTGAAGGGGAATTTGAAGAATTTTAATAGGCTTTTTCTTAGAAAGACATTTGTACACATGCATCATATTAATGGTCTTCCTATATTTAGTTAGTTCTGCTGGTTTTGCACTGTGTAATCAGAGTATGACTACTTTGTTAATGCAATTCTGAAGTGCGAAAACTATCTTAACTTAAAATTTAACTTCATTTTATGAAGAAAATATTTTGAATATCCTGAGCAAATTTCAAAGTATTATTCTCAATTTTGAACAGGACAGCAATCTACCACCTAAAAACCCCCTATGGTAAGGAAACAGCAGTTTTGAGTAAATAGTGTATTCTATGTTCATCCATCACAGCTTTCAGTTTCCTCTCCAAATGGACTAAATCATTTTATTGAAAATATATCCCACAAACCAAATGCTGTCCATGATTAATTCCTACATGTGTTTGCTGTAACAGGCTCTTCTGTTACACTGTTGGCATGTTGTGCCGCTGGTTGCACAGTCTCTCTATGCATGGTCATATTAGTTTATTCTATGGTGGTTTTGGTTTTGGATTTACCTGATTCTCTTTCTTTTCTCCAGTATTTCATGGTGCTAGCTCCTTTTTTGGGAGGATGCTTTAGCAAATGTCACTAACATACATACCTACCACATTAATAAATGGGAAATGAGTGTTATGTACTGACAAATGGAATTGTATGATCTTCACACAAAATTTCCAGGTGATTTAAAATGTTGGGTTTTTTTTTTTTAATTTGCAAAATCAAATTCTATTTTTAAGTATTCCTAACATCAGCTCAACTCTGATGAGTTGAGCAAAGCAACAAATATAGGGACCAAGCAGAAACAAAACAGCACTGACAGAACTGAGCAGGGAATTCAAATCAGCTGAAACAGAGTGATTCTATGACTCTGTGGTACGTGTTATGATGCTGTTTACAAGGCTGAGTTGTTTGTTGCCTGGTTTAATGCCTCGATGGCTGTGGTTGCTTTCTGCACAGGCCACAGCAGCGCTGTTCCTGGCAGAGGCGCGGAGCAGCGCTCGCCCACAGCCATCTTGTAACACCTCTTCTGCTCTTCCAGCTTGCCTCTCTCCCAACAATCATCTTAACCTTAGAGCAGCCAAAGTCGGCAAAAATGCTAAAGATGTCCCTCTGATGTATTTTTAGCTCTGCGCACTTTTTGGTTTTAATCACATCCGCAATTATTGTGAAGTAGAAAAGGACCTTGAAAGGGTCACACATCTATAAAACCAATATAAAAACGTTCCCTCCGGAGAAATAGTTCTTTGCCCCCTGGTGGTGAATTAATTTTGAAAAAATATTACAAAACACTTTTAGGAAAATTTACTTGAAATGAAAAATAAATGCTAATTGCTTCATTGAATACAAGTAATAATACACTGCTAAGCAACACTTAATGTGTCAAACATAATTAGAAAAAATCCTATTATGAGTAAGCTCCATCAATCTTTGATAGTCACTGCAGAAGAGATTAAAAATAGTTTGAAAACTGCATGAAACCTTCAATACTTTAAAATCATGTCTCTTGTTTTGCTTTTTTTGGGTGGTTTAACACAAATGTCTTTAGAATGTAATGTAGTCCTGAGAGTCCTTAATTTCCAGCATTCTTACTGGAAATGAATGATGGAAATTATATTCATCCAAACAGCATCTTTACATCTGCCCCTCTCTGTATGTTGTCCATACATTGAGAGCTCCCACTCTGGGCCACTAGAAAAACATTCCCTGAATAAAACTTTTAAAATAGCGTTACATAATTCTCAAAGTTGTCTAGGGGTTTTCAGCTTGCATATGCTGAGCATCTCCATGTGTGAATAGATTACCAGCATGTCATTCTTGGAATAGTAATAACAAAATTAACACTGGTAGTCACCCACTTGCAATTTTAGCCACAGACAATTTTGAAAGGTGTCAAGAATACATTGTTTAAAAATATTCCATTAGCCTTCTAATAACTGATTTTTTTCTGTCTTTTAATTATTGTGCCTCCAAAACTTCTCCCTGAGAGTCCTTCCCCATGTTGATGTTCTTCTTAGAAAAATACATATTAAATTTTAATGACAGACTATTGTCATGCAACAAAACATTATATATTTATGCTGGGAAAAGACCATTTATAATGATCAGGGATTTCATATGTTGGCTTTACAGTATTAGGATATGGCTCCTAAGGATGTGGCTCATATGAAAATGATCTGAGTGTATTACCACATCTTGTACGATGGTAATGTGGCTTCAGGCAGTTTTTGAGTTTGGAAAACAGCATCAAAGGTATGGCATGCTCAGTAGGCACTATTGGGTTTAGGCACTAATGATGTAACATGAAGAAAAAAAAAAAAGTGCAATGTAGCTAAAAGAGACAACTGAGCTGCCCAGACCAGGCACAAATGGGCTATTTCCTAAATAATATTCTCTCATGTCTGATTCACTGCAATAGCTTTCTGTTTTTAGCTCTGTTGCTTTTGCTTCCTTTCCCTTTCTTTCTCATTAGTTTGACTTACGTCTGACCTAAGGTACCAGCTGGTGTACACGAACAGCATACTCCCTACAAATCTTTCAGTGGCCAGGGTTGCTATAAGGTGGTCCTGTCCCCACTGTCCTTCTTTTCCCGCTGCCACACTGGATGTCATCTTCTCCCCGTCTCCATTCCATTCGCCTGACCGCGTGGCTAAACGCTAAACCGCATCTGCAAAATGATCTGACTTTAGAAAAAAATCCCTTAAAAAGGCAATAGCCAGGCCACCGGCCTGTGGGCTGCAGCACGGCGGCCCCGCTCCGAGCAGGCTGCGCTGCCCCGCAGGGCCTTCCCTTCCGGGGCGACAATCCCTGCCCGCCGGGAGACAATCCCTGCCCGCCTCTGCCCGGCCCCGCTGCCAGCGCCCTCGGCTCCCCGGCTCCAGTTGTACTGCGGGGTTTTGTCCACTGGAAAAGCCGCTTTAAGTCGGGCTGTTTCCTGCCTGCTCTGCCTCCTTGTTCTTGCTGCCTCGTCGGGGCTCGCTGTCCCCGCGGTTGTGGGAGTGCAGCTGTTCGTGGGCTGAGTTGTAAATTGGATCAGTGAAACATCTGAGTCTTTCTGCGCGTGTGTATGTACGTACGTGTGCGCGGGTAGCTTTCTGTTGTGTTTTTGGGATTGTTTTTGTGTTTGTGGGGTTTTTTTTTTTGTTTTTTTTTTTTTTTTTAAAGCTGGGTCATCTCACTCATTCGACTTCCAACGTGGCGCACGAAGCTGGATGAGCAGCTGAGGAGCAGCGAGCAGAGGCGCGGAGTGGGAAGCAGCAGGAAGCCCTTCAGCCGGCTCTGTGAGCAGACAGAGGGACCCTGTGCCCGTACAGAGCCACCCACACCAACCAGCCGGGAGAGAGAACCGGGATACACCGCAGTCTGTCCCACAGTGGCTCTTCAATTGCTGCAGATAAGGCTTTATCTTTAGGAAGAAAAGGGCTGGTCCCTTAATAAGCTCTTTCCCCCAGACGTCTGCTCTTCATTGGAGACCCCGAAATCGCAGGCTCTTTAGCGATTCAGAATATGATCGTGTGAATCCTACTGGGCTTATAAAACATGTTGCTCTTTCAGTGCTGTTAGAAACACTAATAATAACTTGTTCATGCATTGGGCCTTGGGTGCTACTGTCAGTTAGTGTCAGAACAGAGATTTGTTTAAACAAATTATTTCCGTATACACTTCTTTCCCTTACCCTTTGGAAAGTAGAGCTTCATGACCAAGTAGACCTGTTTCAGTGACACCTGTCTGCATGAGTGGTCAAATTTGGGGCACGGAAAGAAAATGCTATCCCTGCCTTCACAGCTCTCTATATCCTTCAGTTAAAGGATCTGCCCAGCTGCAGAGCCTACATACAGGATTAAAAACTCTTCTCTCATCTTCTAGCGGTTTAAATGTCATGGCTGAGTCACAGGAAAAAATACTAATACTTCCCAGCAGGAGTCATTTTAGGCAGTGATGAAAAATCCATGTGTAATCTTTTACCTTCCCCTCTGCCTTTGTGGCAGAGTTTGCAATAGTGAGATTTAAATCTTCATCACCAGTCTCCCAGCTCACCTGCCGGTGATGTCTCACAGGCTCATAGAGAGGCCAAGCATTGCTGAATTTTATTATGTTTGTTCTATATTTTAAATCTTTCTCTGAAGGAAAGAGAGAGAACTGACTTGTATATTAACTGATTCTTTTTATATTGGAGAGGTCTAATGTGACTTTAATTGAAGTGCTGGAGAAGGGGGAAGTACTCTTCATTACTCTCATGACTTTAAAGAAGAAAACTGAAGGAGATTTCATTATTATGGAAGCATTTATAGCATTTAAATAGTATTTTCAGCATTTTCTTCCCAAAATTTCAGCATTTATGCTTGGAGTACAGACCAATTTTAATGGAAACATTTAAACTAATCTCATAGTATAGAATTTCTTAAAAATCCCTTTCGGAAATGTTCAGTGCAGTATTAGGCCTTCTGTTCCAATGGTTTAAGGAGCAGAATAAAAATGAGTTTCCAATTTCTCACATTGTTAAAACCAAAGGAAAAAATTTAACTATGCTAACTTAAATTAAGAGATCTCTTAAATATGTATTTTAGATAATCATAATCCCATTAACATTAGCACTTTTTCCCCCTATTATTCTTTCCAAATTCACATTCCTCTTGACTAAAAGAAGCCATAATTTGTCTGAAGAATTCTGAGGTGTTTCTTTCAAAATAGCCATTGTCTGCTGTGTTCTCAGAAGCACTGGTGCCACAAGCCACCTGCAATTTGTTATCAGTGTTAGGACAGGTTTCCCTGGTCTCAGTAGAATGGAATAAGTGACCTGTTTTTATCGGATTTTTTGAAGGCTTTTTTAACAGTTTAAGCAAGAGCAGCCAGAGGTTGGTTTTGAAAGGAGTAATTTTTCATAACAAATTCCAAATGCCGAAAAATAAGATCAAAATAACAAGTGCTTCTCTTCAAGGTTCATCATTGCACTACATCAGCTTAACTAAGGAGGCTTAGAAGCTAATGATGCAAGAGGAAATAGAAATGAAAAATACAGAACAATTCAGAAGAAAAGGAGAATTTGGAAGTATTTGTTAAGGGGAATGAAATATCACTAATCTCACATTTTAAAAAATCTCCCACCTGGTTTAAAAATAAAATAATGCTACCTTATTGAACTCTTTATTTGCCCCTGGTTTCTGAGGATACTTTGCATTTTTAAACTCTGTTCTACAACCTTATGAGTAGGTAATGTTTTGAATCCAAAGGTGGTATTTTTGTGCAATAAAGCTTGAGACTTGAAAGGAAGGATAATGTAAATATACAGGACTACAAATTTATACTGTGGATATTGGCATGCAAAACAGAACAGATTAACAAAGTAAGGGCATGGGAAGAAACTTATCTATACCAGGTTCAGTTGCTCCAGCCAAACAAAGCAGCTGATAAATTAACTAGCCAATGACTTTACTTTGTCATTCTCTAAAAAAGGACTTTATTTTGGCTTTGCGATCAAGTGGGAGGAGCCTTTTTTTAAGATTATAAGAATGAACAGCACCTTTTTGTGAAGGGTAAGTTAAAAGGGTCTGTGTAAGACACTGTTGGCTAAATTATAATTTCCTGGCAAATGGGTTTAGGACTCCCTTCAGAAAGCAGAGCCGCAGGCAGAATTGTGATCCTAAAAGCCCAGTGGGCATACATATGGGATATGGAAACATGAGTTTAAATATCAATCTAATTAATATTTAAATAGTTTATACAAAGGGGAACAGTTTCAATAGTAGAGAACACCTAAGACTATTCTATACTTTATGAGTTGGAAAATTGATAATGGTTATGTTGGTTCAACTCTTTACTCAGAACTGAGCAGAGTGTATTTTAAAGCCACATCTTGGTATTCCCATGGAGTATCCAAGGAAGCACTCTGCTGTACAGTGGTTCTCTAAATGGTAGCTAGCTCCTCTTAGGTAAATTCAGGTGCAGATAAGATTGGCATTTGGTATTTTTTTTTTTCTTTAATTGCAAACCCTATTTTTAAAATTTAGTTCATGGATATTTTTCAGATGAGTGAATCTCTCTTTTCTTAAAAAGATTCCCAGAGTGAGTTATTAACCAGACCTAGTTTTGAGAGATGAAGCAGATGGGGTGTGCTGAGGAGCCTGCCCGTGCCAGAGAAAAGTGATTTAATGCTGATAATTTGTATTGTTCGGCCATTAAGTTTCCATCTAATTTCTCATCCAGCGTCCCAGGTGAAACATTTCACATTAATTTAAGCTAGGAAAGAACCAAAGGCTCGGGGACAACACCTTAAAAATCGGGCTGACACTAACAGGAGGGTGCAGCGATTTTAGGCTAAAATATGTTACAGGAATCAAACACGCCCTTAGGAGTTCTTGAAGGCAGAAAACCGAAAGACGATTCAGGGCGCGGGGACATTGCAGGCACCGCGGGGGTGCCACGGCGGCAGCGGCGAGGGACCGGAGCTGTCCCCTTGAGTGTCGCTGTGGGTGCCCTCACGGGTGCCCTCACGGGTGTCCCGGCGCTCCCGCTGCTCCCGGCGGGAAGGGCGCGCGACGGGGGAAGGGCGGGGCGGGGCCGGGCGCCCGCGCGCACGGAGCTCGCGCCGGGAGCCGCTCGCGCCCTTCCCCCTCCGGCCTCTCCACTGCGCGAGCGCCGGCGGTTGCCGGGGCGCGTGACGTCACGAGCGGCGGAGGCGGCGATTGGCCCGGCGGGGAGAGCGCCCCCGCGCCGCGCCCTCGGCTGCTGCCGCTCCTGGCGCTGCTGGCGCTGCTTGCGCCCCGCGCCCGCGCCTGGGACAGCGGCGACCTGGAGCTCTTCGACCTGGTGGAGGAGGTGCCGCGGAACTTCTACGACTTCCTGGGGGTGCAGCAGGTGAGCGAGGGGCCGAGCCCGCCCGCCGCCGCCCCCTGCCCTCGCCCGTTGCCGCGGGCCCCGCGGGTCGCGGCTGTCCCTGGCCCCCAGCGCGGCTGCCCCGCCGGCCCCTCGCCCGCCGGGCTGGCGCTGTCACCCTCCTCCTGCCCCGGCCCCCGGCCCGGCTCCCGCCCAGCGGGGCAGCGCGCCTGTCCCTTTGCAGCCTCTCTCCTCCCGCTGCGGGGGCTCTGCTCTGCTTCAGGTACTGCTCTGTGGCTTCTCCTTCCTGCCCACCATAAATCAGCCCTCCCTCTCTCGCACCTTTGTGTGTTCCTACTGCCTGTTGCTTTTCTGGACATATCTCATTCTCTCCAAATGTATCTACAGCCAGACAAAAGTAGCTTCTGGGGTTTTCACACTTCCCATTCATATCGTCGGTATGGCAGTTTCTCACCTTTCCCTCCTTCTGCATAGCTGCTATGTCCTTATCTTAAGATTGTGCATCACCATGTGTTGCAGCTCATATTTTCTCTCACTCCTGCCATGTGGTAGACTGACCCTTTGCTGTGTTAATGGCTTGTAGATGGTTATATTTGTTTGCTTTCCGTGTATCTTGGTTATTGTGTGTGGTTTTCACCTCTCTTTCATAAGTAACACCTAACATTATCTTAAAGAATTTATTATGCAGCTTCAGTTAATTTTTCATGCCAGTGTGGTCAAGACAGGAGCTCCTGTTAGGAACGCTTCTATCCCAGGGTTCGTGTGTACATTTTGGATGGGGTTGCTGGTTTCACTGCCGCTTGGCATCTTCGGCTTGTATCACGTGTCTGGGCTCCCGTGATGCCCTTTCTTTCTCTCGATGCTCTGCTCTATGGGTGACCTTACTCAGTGTCTCTACATGCATCTTAACCACTTTTTTAACTTTCTTCCAGTCAGTGTTCTTCTCAGTAATGAAATACACTATTCTTTATATGCTGCTTCTTCACCCAGAATCCCCAAAATACATTTTGCTCTTTCTCTGTCTCCTAGTGCATTCTGTGCCCCTGATACTTTCTCTTTCCAGTGCTGTATTCTGGGGATTGATCCTATTTAAATGGCTTCCCTGTCAACCTTAAAGTTTATTCTGATGTAGTTCTTGTAGATTTTGAGAGTAATGACTGTATTTTCAGGTGCATTTCACTAAGGCCATGTCTAAAAAGAGAGGGAAGATGCCTGCAATATATGTGTCCAGCTTTAGAAACTACTGGCTGTGGTTGCTCTGACTGTTTCATCTCTTTCTTTCCTTCAGTCCTTCTTAAGCATTCAGTTAAATACTATGTAATACCCGATCATCTGTACAAAACAGCAAGCACTGCTATTCATGTTTCATTTTCAAGACCCTAGAAATCTAGGTGTTAATTCTCAAAGACTTTGTTAGAGTTAGATAATGTGGGAATGCAAAACTTTGTTTCTGTTAGTGATGTTCAGGTCTGGAATGCAACTCTTTGTTAACATCTTCCACAGTCCTTTCTTCTAGGGCCAAATCTCTACCTTGCCCTGTATGTTTAGCAAAATGTTAATTTTAACAAGCAGATATTCTTCTAGTTCACATTTCTACTCCTTAGTCATAATGGCAGACTTGTATCACTTGCAGTGTGGGAGCAAAGAAAAAGTTGGTGGAAGTGCAACACCAATGAAACAGAATTTTTTTTTTTTTTTTTTTTGTTTAAAGTGGTCGCTCATCTTGTCATTATAGCCAAGACTGGAAGTGTACATAGTGCTGATACTTGACACATGCAGCAGAACAGACCTGTGAGTGGAATAATGGAGTGTGCAGTGTTGGGAGTTGAGCTTCAATAAGAAACTCTAATATTGGAAAATGCTGTGTGGATTTACAGGTTCTTTCACTCTGTATCCTTTGTTCCTGCTGCTTACCTCTCCAGCTCTGACCCATATCTGAAACTTCCAACAAGATCCTCGTGTCATCCTGAGGGAATGTTGTCCTGCAGTGCCTCGCTAGGCAGCTGCTGCTGTTCAGGTTATGAGAAGGGTGATTGGTCCTGAGACAGGACCAAGGGAAGTGCACAAATCTCAGGTGTGCTGTGTCCTCTCCTGGATGTCTCAACACAAAACTGTCTTTTACCATAATGTCTCAGTGTGATGTTTGCACATTTCTTCAGGTCTTCTGCCATTTTTTAATGCTGTGGTTTAATGGAGCTTATTCGTTTTTTATGTCATTATTGTTTTAGTTGGGATGCTTTTTACTATAGTACTGTAATTTCACTTTTTGTAGTTCTGGTACTAGAGGTTTCCTTCCCTGAGTTCAGGTGGTTTTCTTGTCCACAGGAGTTGACTGTGTGTGTGACAATAGCCTTTATGGCCACACCTGTGAACTTTTTAATTATCTTTCATTCATCAAGGCTTGCTTTTCTTCCCACCCATTCTTATTTCATTGCCTTGTATCATGTCCTGATAATCTCTTCTTCCTTCATGTACTTCTTGGAGAGGGAGTACTTCTCCATTATGCAGGATGTAACTTCTACATCTGAGGTATGGATGCTCAACTGTGTTTGTTAACACTGGTGTATCAGGGCTGCCAGATTTCTTCTAAACATGTCATCTTTGTTTTGAAAAAATATAGGGAATGACTCCAATGCTTCCTTGAGGCATTAAAGCAGCTTAGATTTTGATGGGAGAATTGTGGCCCTGATTGTTGAACTCATACACGATGTCAGAAGCTGATGTTGACCTCAGCTGACAAGATGCAGAAGGCATTGTGGGAAGTGCTGTAGCTCTCAGACATGCTTTGGTGACGCCTCTGCTGTGCGGGTTCTTTCACTCAAATTGGAGAAAAATGATTAGGGTTTTGTTTTGTTGCTGTTCTATGCTTGCAGGAATATGGATTTTGTGTTTTGTCATTTTGTGGGCCTTGTGGAAGCCTCCTGGCATTGTCAGGTAACTCATCCAGCTTGGGTAAGGTGTTAAGTTTGAGCTGCTGTAGTGTTTTCTGTTATCAGTGGCAAAGATAGAGGGTGATCTAAGCAAAGTAATTGTTGTGGTTCTGAATGTGGAATCACAAAGTAAGAGTAAGATTGTGACTGTCTTGGCTGTTAAATAACTGACCTTTGTTCCTGATTTCAAAGAGGGGTGGCTGAGCAATCTACAAGTGCTCATGGAATGGTTGAGGTTGGAAGGTCCCTTCTTGTCCAACCCCCGAGTGTTGGGGGTGAGCACCTAGATGAAGAACTATCTGATTTTTATACAAGGACACAATCTATCTATTTGGGTTTTTATCAGATCTGATAGTAAGATAGCATGAGAAAGTCTTGCATTGTTATGTTGTTACTGTTGCTGTTCTGACCCATGTGGAAATTGCTCTACCTTCCCTTTCTTTGGTGGTTCTTAAATTGATGATGTAATTAACTTAAATGACTCATATAATACATTGCTGGTTTCAAGAAGTTTGACCTAGCAGGATGGGGATGTCATCTTTGGCTTGAGAAAAGGTTGCATTTCCCTGTCCCCCAAGTGGTTATTGAAGAAAATAGAATCATAACTCTTGACAAATCTGATGTAATAATGATTTCATTAATCACATCAATATAGCCAGTTTCAAACCAACAAAGGAATCAGGACCAAATAGTATTAATCTAAAAACTCAGATGAAGCAGCAGAATTAAACCAGAGGCTATGCAGACTCAGGCTATGATGACCAGTCACCTGAGAATGAGAACATAGAAATGTGATGTTAACTTTTTGAAAAAACTCCAGGAAGATCTGAGGATCTTCCACATACAAGCTTGTGTGGTGGACAAATGAATGGGTCAAGTTAATGTTATCATCTCTTACAGCTTTTAATAGTTGATACCTTCATGAATATGACATGCTTAGGATGAATCAACTTTGCATCAGTTGAACCTGTGGCTCTCCTTCCCAAAATATGCTTTTGATTACAGTTTGCTAATATGGCTTCAAGGGAGCTATTTGTTCCTCCACTTTTTTTGGCTTGCAGCCAGGAAGGCACTACGAGCCTCGGAATGTCTTTTGAAAATTTGTGATACAGTTCTTTGGTACAAAGGATCTGAACAAGAAATTTTTAGGGAACGGTTGTTTGTGAAGGTGTATTGGAATGCTTGAGCTGTCCTGCTGGAATTGAGCTGTGTGGAGCCGTGTGTTGTGTTAGGATCAAGGAAGGTCTGCATAAGGCTTTGGCTTCCGCTGGGGATCACATAAGGGAAGGGGTTGGTGTTGAAGGTTCTGCTAGGCCTGTGCATTGTAGGGAAGCAAACACAGAAAGGTTCTCTGAGCACTCTTTGAGTTACTGGAAGAGGCCCTGGGAGCTCTGGTTCTTGAGGGAGAGTTAACAAGTAGGACTTGCTGGTCAGCATGGTGAATAAATGTGTAACCTGAAAAAAGTTGAGAAGGATATTTTCTTCAGTATTGGCTTATGCCTTTCTTATGGCACGTGAGCTACGTATTGAGCTAGGCTCTAAAGTGTTCCTGGGGCTTTACTGTAGAGAGCTAAGAGTATTATAGCCACTGCAAGATGATGGGGTTGGTAGATGATGCTGCAGCACAAAGTCAGAACTGTGTGTACAGAACCTGATTTTGGTCTGACAGCCTGTGAGACCTTGGTATGTTAGCAACTCCAAGAAAGTGCATGACATACAAACCAAGGAGTTGAGTTTCTATGGCTGTGGGAAACCACACCCTCTCCAGATGAGCTGGATGTGTTGGGCTAATAGGCTTCTTTCAAGAATGCTGGAACAGATGAGCTGTTGTGTACTGTGTTGAGTAGCAGGATCTGACAGGGTTGTGTCTGTAGAATGCAATGTTTGGTGCTGTGGAACTGATGTCCATACTGTTTGCATTTCAGGGATTTTTTTTTCCTTGTTGTTGAACTAATTCCAGGCTGGCTGCATGAACTCAATGCCCGTTTGTGTTGAAACATGCTGTTTGTGCTCTTGGTTTCACACCTTGTGGTTCAGTTCTCTCCAAAAGGAATCCTGTTCATCCACTCCAGGACTGCTTCATCATATGCA